GGGGGACAAACAACAAATGAGTCTCTTATTGTTGAGGGTAAGGGGAGACAAACAAAGAACACACAATGACATGAGTGTTTCAAATCCATGTGAGCAACTAGCTTCAATTTTGAGAAAACAAAGAATCACACAATAACATGAGTTTCAAATCCATGTAAGCAGCTAGCTTCAATTTTTTTCCAATCTAATAGTCAACTAGCTTCCATTTTTTCCTATCTAAATTCCAACATCAGACTTGTACTGTTCATAAGATAATATATAACAATTCCATCCCTTCCGACACTGTCCTCAGTAGCTCACCAACAGGGTGGAGTCAAGAGATTCACAACCAGACAGGTTATCACTTTTGTTTATATTCCTCAGCTAATTGTAAACAAAACAATGTGACTACTGAACTGAAGAAGTTAGTCGACTGAACAGTGTAGTACTAGTAGTCACCATTGTCTGTCATTGCAGTTTTCTTTCATCTCAACAGTTGAATTTTCTACTAGACAGACTGGATTTTAACTGGAGCAGTCATAACACAATGGTACAAAAATTACAACATAGGTGAGGAACTCGATCATAGAAGGAAAGCTTTATTTATTGATTTTGTACAGGTGAAGGGGAGGAGCAATGGGATCGACATGGATCTTGGAAATCAAAATTGGTGAAAACTGCATTCCCTCATACTGTGTGATTGGTCATCAAGATTCACCACTCTTTGCTAGCCATAAGTCTTAAACCCACCCAGGGGTCACGTCAATTCAAAGTAATCAAAGTAAGGGGAGAGGCATAGGTAAAGATCCCGTTCATCCAAGATCTCACATCTTCTTGGTTCCCAAGCACTGGGATCTTAGGGAAAGACAACTACTGTATGACAACACTTCATCATACAAAAAACCCTAACGGATGGAGGTGGGGGGAGTGAATTCCAAATTGGAAAAAAATGTAAAAAGTACCTTTCTCTCAGTTACTTTGCTGGCGTCAAGGGCCCTCAGGCAGCTGTACACATCTGACAGGCCGTCCATCTCTCTGGTTGTGATGTCACTGGAGGTACAAGACACCAGAAGGAAAATTTTAAACATGATTGGTAGTTAGGAATGCAAAAACATGTCAATAATCACATACTGTTTAGTCAAATCAATATATGTGAGCATCCAATATCACCACTGGTCTCAAGCGTAATTTCCTTCTTGATCCTGAATCTGACCGCCCTCTATCAAACTCTATGTAGGCTTCCTATTAGAGACGGGCGGGAAGCGCTTTTTCCTTCCCGAGCGAGAAAACCGAGAAGCTGACCTACTTCTCGCCGGGACCGCCGGTCCCAGTCACGAGAAATGCTTCTCATCTCGTGACCAATTTCTCTTCTCGCCCCGTAGTACGAGCAACTCGCTCAGCGAGAAGGCCGGCCGTGGCCAAGATTTCTCTTTTCGCGCCGTTCGACGGGCAGCTCGCTTAGCGAGAAGGCCGGTCATGGCGGGGATCTAAACTAGGCAAGCCCTGTTGCGCAGGCGCAGGCGGTGAAGGAAGGTAGGGAGACGACCTAGGCCTGGGCCCTGATCAACTCCCCACTCGCCTCGTCTCACCACCCTCTCCCCTCCCTTTCAGTTTCACACACAGGACGGCACGGTGATGGGTGGCACTGTCTGCATGTCATTTCTCGCCTCTCACTCTCGTTACAGTTACTCGTTATGTCAAGCCAACAAGCAGTATCACTTCTCGGTACCGGGCAGCAACCGGGAGGGCATTTCTCGCGAGAAACGAGTACTCGGCTCGTCTAGTGCCCCCCCCCCACCTCCTTTACAATAATAGTTAATCGATCATGTATGTAACAATCAATATTTTATTCACGAAGTATTCAGACCCTGGGACCATATTATTTGCGGCTCAAAAACTGCACAGGTGCAAAAGTGAATGATTAAAAAATGGCACGATGATAGGATGAAAATAAGCTCTCATAATATATTATATAATGGGAAGAATTATAATTCTAGAGGTAGAGTCTACATCTTAGTCTTAGACATCTAGATCTAGTAATTTGTTAAATTCTAAATGGAAAGATGTAGATGGCAAGGCATGAGACTGAGAGAAAATAACAGTAAGAAGAGCTAGATTGACATATTTAATATTTGATATCTCAGCTTCAGTGCCTTCAGCTACTTTAATTTTAGTTTAGTCAATCAATCACAATGCAATTTTTTTTTTTTTATTATTACGACTCCTCAACAATGGTACTAGAGAGTAGAGTGTGTAGTCTAGATAAGGATCTATTACAGTAAAACAGTACTACAAGATCTGGGTCCCGTTTCGGGATACACTAGTTTTGACCCCACCGACAATTACTTCTGGTTCTAAACGATTACTTTTTGATGCGAGTGCCGATATGGAGAGAACAGCCTTATCAAACCTAGATCTAGGCTAAGGCTCGCTAGGCCAATTGCAAAGAATCAAATTATGGTCAAATTCAGGGGGGCATGCCTCCCTGAACCCCCTGAAACCCCCCTTGCCCTGTTAATAACAAGTGAAATTTCACTGCTCATTTTGAAGGCTAGTTCTACTGATAAAACATCGATACCGAATATTTAAATCAGTATCGATAGGCTATCCACTATTTTGAGTTGATGATCCCAAGACGGTACCCACATTCTTAAGTTGACCCAGTTAACAGCCGATCGGTAGGGTTGATCATGAAGAAATTCTCTCCTATTCAGAATAAAGAACGTAGGCCTGGGGAAGATTGAAGAATCGGACCACTCGTATTATTGCATGAGAATGGGAGGCGGAGGAAGGGATTAGGGAAGAGGGGGGGGGGGGATTCAGGGGGGTCTCCCCCTGACAAACAGTTAATGAATAGATCTAGAAATCTAGATCCAGGCTACCAGTCTGAGATTCTTCATTGAGAGAGATTAAAAACTGGGGAAAATCATGAATTCCTAAAGTTGTCGAGACATAGAAAATAGAGGCAAAAGTAGATCTAGATCTAGTCCTAATCCGCTATTCTTCAATCTTACCTAGGCCTGCTTTAGTGAAGTGCAGGGATCAAAAAGTTAAAAGATACAGTTGAAGTAAGGCATTTAAAATGTGACTGGACTGAATAAAAAACAAAAAAGAGGTATGTGGGCTGAGTGGGAGAAAGACACTTCGCTCTGACCAAGTGAAGATAGAATGCTGAATAAAAATGGACTGGACCCCTTTAATAAAACAATCAACAACAATAAATAAATATCTCAGCTTCCTTACAGACCTCTAAGACAAAATCACCCATAGATTTCACTTTGAAACAACTCAAAACATTGCTCTTTGATTGTGTGAGAGACGGATGAAGAACACTGGTTTTTATTTTGCATCTTGCAAAAAGTGGCGGCAGTAGTCGTCTCCCTTGGAAGGGATTTAACTCTCGTTTTCTTATTTCCAAAGATTCTATGTTGGTTCCAAGAAAACCAACCATAGGCCAAAGCCAATGAGGCGGAGGCGCGTTCTTCGGTCGGACGTATACCCCCACCCCCGCCCTCTTACATCTCTGGGGTCTCCCACCTCCATTATTATTAAAGTTAATTAAACGTGAATGCAGATTATAAATGCTAGTCTGTGACAGTAGGCCTACTGTTTGAACTAAAACCAAGGAGGTTATTTGTCTTGACTAAAACCGAAACCTCGACCAATCAACCAAATCTTTTTTTCCGGTCTTCAGCTGACAAAGTTGCCAACATTCGCGGGTCACGAGGCAAAATTTACAGTACATCGACTATAGTATTTTCATAAAAAGCAACATTGGAGTTTCCAGGTCCACATATTCCATTACATTCTGCAAAGAAATAAGAGATATTTGTGCCGGTTTAGTTGCCGTCTACCGTCACACTGTGGTCTACTACGCAGAGCTGTTAAAGTACTTTTAAAAAGGTACTAAAGTACAAATTATTTAAGTACAATCTAAAATATGTACTTAAGTACAATAAAAGCACTTTCCTGTGAAATGTAGTACTTTTTTTAAAGTACCTATGTTTATGAGTATATACATTTTGAGTACACTTTACTCTGCTAATATACTAAGACACTTCAGTGCTAATGCAAAACATGTTATTGAATAACATATCAAGTATATTTGACAAATTAGGTCATTTATTACTAAATATGTAAACAATATACAAAGCATTTGAATATACGCACTGAGGGTAGATGGAAATAGTCCGAGAAATGGAAAAAAACAAACAAACAAACAGACACAACTAGTGAGTGATATATTATGAATAGAACTTGTTCGAGCAAGACAATATGACCAAATGTAAGTCAGTCCAAGAGGTCGGAAAGTAGGAAAAGTATCCAAATTGGAAAATGTAGAGACAAAGTTGCTCTTACGAAAACATAAAATTGATGAAAATGACCAGCAAAAAAATGGGAAAGTGCTTTGAATTCTTCAATAACAAATCCTCAAGGAATCAAGGTAGATTTAAGCACAAACCACCCCCAAAAAAGTGAAAAAGAAATTTAGGTAGCCTAAAAAATTGTTAGATATATACATCGAGAACTCAGTTTCAGTTTCAATTGATTATAATAGTGGTAAGTCATATTTTGGTCACACTGTGTAGTCCAGGGCGCCCACGGCAAACCAAAAAACATGTTGTTTCATGGTCTACTAAGTGTAGTGTAACCAAAGATTCTCTACTACAGTAGTCTCCGCCTAAGATCCCAGTGCTCGGGAGCAAGGGAAATACGGGATCTTAGCCGACGAAGCCAAGGAAGAATCTACAGTGACCCTAGAACTGACGTCACCCCTGGGTGGGTTTATGACATGTGGCTAGCAAAGAGTGGTCAACCGTGATGACCAATCACAGTGACATGGTGGTATGAGGCATACCAAATACATTTAGTACACTCTTTAGCCTATCGTGAGTCTCGAGATCTTTATCTACGTTTATCCAGTTGCCCCTCCCCTTTACCTGTCCAAAAATTTTAGCTTTCCATCTCTGATTGAGTCCCCCTGCCTTTGTCGTTATGCACCATTACGTTGTGACCACACCAATAAAAAATCAGGCTGTCTGGCAAATTCGGGAATAGAGAAAAGGTGTCTTCAATGATCAGAGAAGAGTTCACAGTTCGATGTGATCCCGCCTGAAGCGAACTTGTAGGCCCTACCCACCCAGCGAGTGATGTAAGTTTTGGTGGCGACCTCAGATGCGAGTGCTATGTTTGGGGAAAAGAAACGCATCGGTCGTTTCACACCTCGATGTGATCCCGTCTGGGGCAAACATTGTACCGTTTCATGGAGTTTTACAACGCTTGTGATCACATTCACGAGAGTTGCTGATTTTTTACGCGACGGGCCGTTCTCAACTTTTAACTCTTGGTTGGTGGTTGATCGGCTGTGTCCCCCTGGGAGTTTGTTCCGTACATTATGATCAGAAATACCGATACTCACCCTTTCATTAAGCTTCAAAAGTAGATCTACTCAAAATGTATTTTAAAAATACTCAAAAGTACTTAAAGTATCGGAGTAGAGTAAAGTACAGGTTCTCAAACATGTACCGGAATACAGTAAAAGTACCGAAAATTGTAACGTAAGTTACTCCGTTAATACAACCAGCTCTGTACAGAAGTCTACTACTGTAACTCCCACCCGAACAAATGGTAGGGTCCACCGCGATACGGCGGTCAGCTGTCACCCGATCGACTATTATTAGGCCTATAATATTATACGTGTAGGCTACAGTCTACCGCGAAACGACGATTGCTGACTATAACTGTTCTATAATAACTCCCACCAGACGGTCTACTGCGATCAGGCGGTCACGCTCACGAAGCGTAAGTCGCGCCCAAGGACCCTCTGACTGTGCTATACACGTATATTGTCTTTTGTTTGATTTTTTTTTGGCGTTAAACGAGCCATAAGCACTTTGACATTTTTAAAGAAAATGTTGAAAAATCCCATGCCAAATAAATCCCAGGCGGCTCTCGTGGTCAAGAGGTGTTCGCCTCTCATTCAATTGGTCTCGGTTCGAATCCGGACAGCGATGGAAAATTTTCTTCTCTAAAATGTACTCCTTTCCCCTCTTTACCTGTCCTTAAACAATGTTCTGTCGTCTGCTTTCGTCTCCACTTTCTGCACCCATCTCCTCGAACCTCCTTTGCCCCTTCCTCTGGGCTTCTGACTCTTCTCTTTCTACAGCCTTTCTTCTGCTAGCTGCTCCTTGACTCCTTCTTACTGCTGTCTTTCAGCCACACCCCTGACCTTATGGTAGGTAAGATCTAACACCTAGCGTTCTCGGACATGAGCGGAAAAAACCTCGGAGGTCCCGTGTGCAAGTTGCGCACGTTAAAGATCCATTGGTGGTTCCAAAATCGATAAGGGTAGGCTTCGGCCACCACCCGGGCAAAATTCAAAATTAATTCCTACCAAACTAAAAATGTTTAATGTGTCCCGCATACGCATGTGTCCCTTATGGAGTTGCGAGCACCGCAAAACACTCACCAAAACAAACAAAACGGCAGTGTGTACATAATTTATAATAATAGACCGAGATCAGAACCCTGGGGAACTCCACAAACAGTGGAATTTTGGAGAACTTTACTGCTGTTAAATAGCTATGCTATAATTGATGAAAATATATTTTTTAAAATTTGGTGTTAGAAAACCTGCTGAAACTTCTTCCAAGAACCATGAGCACATTGGGATTTTTTTTTTTTAAAGTTATTTTGAAAAGTCCCCCTGGCCATGCCAAATCACTCCCATACACGGGGGGGGAGTTCTTGGAGTACTTGGCGATAGTGTCATCTCTGACTCAGAGGTTCACGTGGAGTGACCAAATGACCCACCGCCATCCATTCACCGATACCCAGCTCTAAATAAACACCCAGCAGGGTCCATTAGCAATACAAACTTAATACCTTTTAGCAACTATAATAGTAATAGTAATAGCCAGTACAGTCCAGATTGCCAAGCAAACTAACGCGCACTGGCTATTATAGCTCTTTTCACAACAAGCTGCTATTTGTACTGGGGACAATCGTTACTTCTAATCGATCACCTGAAAACAGTATTAGGGTATGGAAAATGTCTCATGACGCACTCGAATCTGGCGCTCGTCAATTGTTTGGGTTTTTTTTCTTTTTGTTTTGTTGTTGTTGTTGGGGGTTTTTTTGGTGTGTTTTTTTTTTGGGGGGGGGTTCCTGGGGGGGGGGGGGTATGGAGCTACTGGTATCATCTTAAAGCTTGTTCACCTGTCTAGCTTCTGATGAAAAGAGTACCCGTCTTTCTGGAACAGAAGTCCAGATATAATGTATTATGCCACTGAAGGAGGCGGGGGCCTGGTTTCTGAAGTAAAAAAAAGCGAGAAAAATGGCCGCTAAAGTTTACATTTTTGGTGCGTTTAATCTACGTCTTTCAGTAAAATCAACACATGCATGTGTCTATAAATGGACGTAGAAAGTGTCGGTCCAGAAAAAAATAAAGAAACTTCGACAAAATTAGCCCAGCACCGAGAAAAATGTCAATTTCTGTTATTTCATTATTTTGACGAGCGCCTGAATTTACCACGACTCCTAACAAATGCTTGACTGGACTGTTCACAACGTTTATTGTTGTCTCTGGCACAACGTACCTGCTTCTGGTTTTGTTTCAGAAGGATGTCGTAATGAAATCACTGACGCCCACACCCTGGCTGATCGCTGACAAGGTCAATACATGAGGAATCACGGTGAAATCAGGCGCTCGTCATAATAATAATGAAAACGAAGATAATGGCATTTTTCTGCCACTTTGACAATTTTTTTCGAATTTTTGTTTTCTTGCTCAACACCTTTTTATGTCCTTTTAAAAATATTTTTGTGAGGATTTTACTGGAAAACGTTGATTAAAGGCACAGCAAAATGTAAATTTTAAGTTTCCAAGGACCCACAAGCTCTGGAAATCAACACAATTTAGCTGCCTTTTTCTCGCTAGTTTTTGCTCTGAAATCAGTTGCAAATATCTCCACTTTTATTTATGTGAGAAGCGCCTGATTCCTCTGCGTTGTGACACATATTATGTTTTACAAGGGGCGCAAGCAAGCGCCCAGTATATAAACACATGAATGGAAACGACGCGGTGAAAGGAAGGAGGTGAACTTGGAATCTGGTGAGTACAAAGTATAGCGGATCTGAGTTTGGTTTAGAGTTAGAGAGGTGAGAGGAGCATAATACTGACGTAAAGAAGATCATCCGGACTCTGGGTAAAGCAAGGCACCATTATAGATAGATAGGCAGACAGACAGACAGACAGACAGACAGACAGATAGATAGATAGATAGATAGATAGATAGATAGATAGATAGATAGATAGATAGATTGTGAAAAGAAGTGTGCGTAATAAGTCAGCACCACAGACGCCTTCTACAGAAGACAAAGCGTTAATTTTGTTTAAATAAACTAGTTCAGATAACCGGCATACTGGAAAAGAGAATGCCCAGTTACTAGTTAGATCAGAAATCAGAACATTTCGGCGAAATTCAATACGTCACAACCTGTGACAGTTACAGATTTGGGTTGGTTGTTTTTTTCCCCACCAGTTCCGAAAGAAGAAAATGAAGTTCATGATTTGACTGGGAATGTTTGCCTTATCGCGTAGTAGTCATTCACAGTTTCTGCCGCGATCTTAGTTTCTACGCAGAACTGCAGCGCTGATGATGATCCCTGT